AAAGAAAAAAAAAAAAAAAAAAAAAAAAAAAAAAAAAAAAAAAAGGATAGAGATAGCATATCTGGTCATTTTTTCTGTGGTTGGCACAATGTTTCTTTTTGTTTATATTCAGACATAGTTGTGGAGTGGTTTTGTTTTTGTTTTGACCCACCGTGGTCACAGAATGGCCTTGTCTGAAGTTGGTGTTCTGTGAAATTGTTAAGTGTTCAGCAACATCCTAGTTAATAGCGCCAGCTGGCTTCCCGCCATCATGGGCTGCATTTATTTTCACTGTGTTTCACATTCCTTAAACCCTCCCCCAAATTACCTAACAGATGCTCAAATCCTGTAAATTCTTTCCAACACCCTCTTCCCAAGACGTCCCGCTGTTTCTCCACAGTGTACCACCCTCCTTGCAAAACCATAGACCCAACTTTGTCCAACTACAGGAGTGTTCTCGACGGTCTTTGGCTCGAGCCACAGTAACAGCTCCCTAAAGGGTCACTGCTGTTGTTAGGTCTCAAGGGAAACTACATGGTGCACCCAGAGCGTTCAGGCTTCATAAACAAGTATTTTGAGGCTTCCCGACAGCTGCCTCTGGCTTGTTTAATTCTCCTCAGGAGACGCCTTCTCTCCTAAGAGAAGACAGGGGAGATACTTTGGTTTCTGACCTACCACGCAGAAAACCAGCCGTCAAATTTCTTATGAAGTAAAAACTGACTTGCGCGCCTCCAGCTTCAACTCAGAATTTCTCAAACACCAGGACGCCCCAGGGGCATGCGGGAAACTAAAGCTCCAGCGGGTTCATATGACTCGGTATCTAACACGCTACCTTAACCCAGGAGGAACGGCCCCCAATTCACTCTACAAGCAGCGCAGAACATTCTTAAAGGCTGAGGTAATGGTCACTACCAACAACCGAACCTTCTTCCGCTTGCCGCTCGCTCGAACATCGCGACGGGTCGCTGGTCAGCTGCCGCGCAAGCGACAGCGTCTTATAGACTGACTACAAGTCCCGGCATGCCTGGCGGCGCAGCGCCGCCTGATAACTCGCGCCACACGAACCACGCCGGGTTGGTTCTTCTGCGCGCCTGCGCCTGGCGAGCTCTGCGCAGGCGCATTTCCAGCCTGGAGGAGAGGGCGGGGTGTCGTTCCCTTTCGCTGATGCAAGAGCCTGGTGCGGTGGTGGAAGAGGTATCGGCAGGAGCAGCGTTGCCGCCGGAACCTGGGGCTGACCCGTCTGACTTCCCGTCCGAGCCGAGCCCACTAGAGCCGCAGCCATGTCTGGAGACGAGGTGAGGGCCTGAGCCCGGCGCTAGGGCTAAGGACTGAGGCGGGAAGCAGAACCCATTCCAGTGTGGGAGACCGGGCCTGCGGCCTAGTAGCCGGCCGCCGCCATGTGGGGCAGCCGGGCCTAGACGGCCCGGAGCTGCGGAGCCGGCGAGGACTCCGGAGCCGCAGGCTTGGCCGCAGCCCGCTTTCCTCAGGGCGGTGGCGCCGAGGCGGACCTCCTGCTGTGGTTGGCATTTCCGGAATGGAGAGCACACGTTGAGTCGCCCTCCCTGAAGGGGCTCGAGTGCCCAGTTAATGCCCCGAATGAGACTGGGGCTGGTGATCCCTGCATTTCTTTCTGCTGGGCACTGCTGCCCCAGCTCGCCTTCCTGGGTGCCGCGAGGAACCTCTCTTGGCTTGATAGAACGCCCTCGTTAAAACTTTCTAGGCTGTCTTGTCGGGGCTGGTATCCCGCCCTTGTTTGCCTTCCTAGCATTGTTTTTTAAAAAGACGATGGGGTGATGGGCTTAGAACGAGAGAAAAATATCCTGCAGCCTCAGGAAGTGACTAGCCTTCCCGGAAAGTTTCCAGGCTAGCCCCCGAGCTTCCCTTAACAGAGGGCTCCCAGCGACTTGAGCGGGAAGTCCGGGCTGTGAAGCTGGCTGGATCTTTTTCTACCGTGGTGCTTGGATCTCACCGCATTTCCTCAAATCCCTTTCCCCCAGATTTATTCTAGTCGGTATAACTTCTAAAGACTTAAAATGAAGTTGATGTTAAGTACTCGCAGGTGTTGCTTAACATTGGGGGAGGCCCTGACCGGTATTGAGGATTTCTTAGGCAGTAGGAAGCCTCGATCACAAGGGCAAAGGAATGGTCGAGAAAGGCCAGTAAATGTGCCCACAGGAAGTGGAATATTCTTCTGTTAGAGTTAAGGGGTGAACACTTGAAGCACTAGTTCATGGAGGGCTGTGAAGACGAAGTTAAGGAATTGAGAATGTATTCTGAAGGGGATTCCAGTCTCTTACTTGGTTCTTGCAACAGTCCTGTAAAATAGGTCTACTGTTATGCCCATTTTAGAGATGAAAAAACTGAGGCTCTCTGAGTTGTATAATGCCCATGATCAAAGACTAAGTGGCTGAGCCAGTGGTAAGATTCCAGATCTGTGCAATATTGCTTCCGTGTAGATGACTAGGAGGATCTCAGTAGCTTAGAGAAAGTTTGTAGATGGTCCTTAGCGGTTATGATAGACATTGCTCTAGGCTGCTGTATTTCAAAAGTTCTGAGAGTGGCAGTATTTCACACCTATTTTGTTTCTACTCATTTTTCAAATTTCTCATAACCTTTGGCAAATACTGCACATAGTGCAAGAGTCCGTGGGGTGTTACTCTGTGTATGGTCAACTACTAGTTGACACACAAGGTAGAAATGGGGCCATCAACATAGTGACTTGGAGGGCTAGAGGGATCATTTCTATCAGTAGGATCAGGTTTTGAAAGAAGGGGAGTATGACTATATTACTGATGGATGAACAGTTTTGTGAAGTAGAGATGGCAGAAGCAGCATTTCAACATAGGACTTTGAAAGTCAATAAAGTATTAAGCAGTTTGGCACTTAAGTTGACAGTACGACTTCGTTTTACAGGAAACCAGGGCTGAGGGAGATTAACTTGTCCAAGATCACACAGAAAGCAGGACTGGAACCTTGGTGTTTGGCTTCTATTCTGCCAGATAGAAGTTAGGAGTAGAGGGAGAATAGAATAGAATTTGAAGAATAGGGTGTAGAGTCTGGTTCCTCTAGTGCTGTTGACTAGATAAGTGTTCTTAGGCCATTTCCTTTTTTTTAATTTTTTTAAGAGACGGGGTTTCACCATGTTAGCCAGTCTGGTCTCGAACTCCTGACCTCAGGTGATCCACCCTCCTTGGCCTCCCAAAGTGCTGGGTTTACAGGCATGAGCCACCGCACCCGACCCTTAGGCCATTTCTTTAACTTCTGGCTACTGTACTGACTTTCGAGGATAAAATCTGTACTTGAAAATGATATATTAACTGCCAGGGACTTCCCAGAATGCAAGTAATCTTGCCTGGTGGGTCAGTCTAGAGGATTAAAGAGGCTACTATTAAAAAATAATTTTCTGTTTTCTTCATATTTCTGGGTTTTTTTTTTTTCTTATAAACTGCACACATTTCTTTTTAAACCTGGCAATTAAGCCAAAAACTCACCAAAACATAAAACCCTTTTCAACCTAATGGAACTGTGGTTTTATTTTTATTTTTATTTTTTTTTTTGAGTCAGGGTCTCACTCTTGTTGCCCAGGCTGGAGTGCGGTGGCACAATCATAGCTCACTGCAGCCTGTGTCACCTGGGCTCAAGGGATCCTCCTGCCTCAGCCTTGCAAGGAACTGGGACTACAGGCGCATGTTCTTACACCTGCTAATTTTTAAGTTTTTTGTAGAGATGAGGTCTTGCTTTGTTGCCCAAGCTAGTCTTGAACTCCTGGCCTCAAGCAGTCTTCCTGCCTTAGCCTCTCAGCTTGGAACCACGATCTTTAGAAAGCAGAATCCTAGAAATATGGCTGCTACCTGGTAAGGGAAAAGAAAAATCCCCTAATCTATAGGCATTCACTATTTTTCAGACCATTTTTTAAAAGCAGCATTAATAATTAATGCTTGCTTGCTTACTACTAGGCCCCATTCATAAGGTGTCAGAACATTGATTTTTCATAAAATGTGGTAAGGTGTTTTGGCAAAAAGAAGCTTTAAAAAAGTTTTTGGTTCAAAATGGGATGTGTGTTGTATAAAGTTTATGAAACACAGAAAAATACAAAGAAAAATCTCAGAATCTAAATCTCAGCTACTTAGAAGAAGACTTAGACCAGGAGTTTGAGGCTGCAGTGTGCTATAATTATAATTGAGGTTAGCCACTACATTCCAGCCTGGACAACATAGTGAGACCCCTGTCCCTAAAAAAAAAAGATCTCACAATCCTATCACACAGAGATGGCAACACTTAGCATTTGTTCTGGTCATCCTTGGAAGGAACTTTTAGATCAATGCTTTGCTTCTCTGTGGGTTCTTTTGTGACTCACACCTGCTTCTGGGTGTAGTATGACTACAAAGGTGATTTCTTGGGTAAGGTATAATCTATGAGAAGAGACTTCTAATTTGATGAAGCATTTCAGGGTAATTTTAGCTGGTATACCTTTTCTTTGCTCTCTCCAACCAAACGTGAGAAGTTGAAAATAGAAAATTTATGCTTTTGAAGGCTTTGTTGTGAACCTAAAATATAACTGAAGTGATTCTGTAGTTTTCCATAAGTGCACTGTCAACAGCTATTTACTTTTCAAATCCAAACTAGTGTCATAAAAGAAAACCCATTTGGAGTGTAGTCAGCTTATAATTTGAAAGTCTTATAATGAAAGTCTTAAAAAGCCATGATATTAGTCAAGACTGATATGGGCTTGTTCTTTGGGGAGTTCTGCTTTGGGTACTGCTTTGGGATCCCCGCTCCTTGTTTGTAAACTCTACTTTGCAGGATGGTATGAATAAAATTAGGCAATGAGTTGTATGTTACATATCCAGACAGTAATTGAGAGAGATGTTATTTCAATGTATGATTCCAACATGTTTATTATCCTTTATAAGGCTACAACCAAACTGTTTACCTGTAGAACAAAATAAGGTTTTTCAGGGGATAAGAAGGCACTTATGAAGCTGTCCTCTGGTGATATCAGGATCCTTTCCATCTTTGGTCTGTCTTGATGAATAATGGTTAAAAGGCAATTAATATTTTAGGGAACTTGATGCTTGAAAAAAATGCAATAAATGGCTTGTAATCCCTTCCAGAACCAAATTTATAGTGTGTAGAGTTTTGTCTGTCCTTTTGCCAAGTCTCCCTATTTCAAGAATGAGGATGAAATGTAGCTAACTTCCCTGTAATACTGCTGTACTCCTTGTAGGGCGACCCAGAGCTCAATAGTAGATCAGCAGTGGGGGACTCTTTCCTCTTTGCTCTTCTGTCTTGGTAGGGACACTTCTTTAAGTTAGCCAGATAATATTCTTCAGACTGACTGCATTTCAGATTTAATTATTTATAGAATTGGGTCCTTGTTAAAGTTGGAAAACATATTTGAAAATGCTTTGCAAATACCATACTTCTCTACTGGGCAGGGACAGTAACTATATTACCTTATTACAGACTATAGCTTGGTTTCAGTCTAGTTTCCTTAATGAACTTGGAACATAAATAAGTTTATGTTAGAATCCATTTTGGGAAATTTTTGAGAGTTTTATACGTTTGGAAAATTAGAGCACCTGAATTGATGAAATTTCAGTGATAGGAATCAAGAGAAAACCATGCTTTGTGAATGGTAAAGTATTATATAAATTGCAGTTGCTAATATTTATTTGAGTACTTATGTGCCAGGCACTATGGCAAGGGTTTTATATTTACATACTTGTTTAAGCCCCCCAGTAACCTTGTATGGTTTGTCGTTCCGCTGCTTGTCTCCATTTTACATATGAGGTGTGGAATAACATAAGTACAAGCCATAGTCAGAACTTGAATCCAGTCAGATGGGCTCCAGACTTGTGCTTTTATTTATTTATTTATTTTTGGTTGTTGTTGTTGTTTTGTTTTGTTTTTTGATA